GGCATTTTTCCAACTATATATCATCTTGATGGGACAAGTCTACTACTTACAATCAATCACAGTGACCTTTTCAAAGGTGAGACTTAGATTCAGAGTCATAAAGAGTGACTTGCAGAGGCAAACTCCACAGTTGATGTCGGTGGGGATTATGAGGGCTGGCTATTGCTTTTGTGATATTAATATTTAAAAAATTAGGATGTTCATAATGATATTCTGGGTGCAGCTCACGCATACACTCTTTTTCCATGGCCTGAGTAGAAAAAACTAATTTAAACAAGACCAACTAGATGAGAAAGGAGCCCTGACACCAATTAATATTGAACCAAGTGCCTTTATTTTATTCTCCTTGAGTCATTTCATTATTAAATATAATATTGGTACTCCCTTTCTTAGTGATATTTTTTCCTACTAGATTACTTTAGTTTTAATTTTCCTTTCGCTTATATATAGCATCCACAGCCAAGACTGTTCATGTGTTTGGGGGGTTGTTTAATAACATGTAAAATCTTGAAGGATGTGGCTTTCTCATAAAAATGATATGGCTTGAGTGTTCTATGTATATCAGGCATTTCCAGTATAGAATTGTTTGTCCTCACTTTGTGACTCACTAAACTTCTAAACAAGGGGTACACTGAATGTAGTTATGTAAAATGGGGAGGGGTAGTAGGCATTGGAACACAAAATAAAAGAAGCAAGTAGATATCTTTTGCATATCTCAGTGGCTGACTGTTGAATCAAATGGAGAAGTGTATATCTACCAACAACACAAAAATCTGAAGATGCTCAATTCTCTTACATAATATAATATTTTCATATGACATCTTCCAACATACTTTAAATGATTTCTAGATTTTTTTAATGACTAATACAACATGAATATATATATATATCCCATTTATTCATATATATTTTTTATCATAACTAGTTGTTACACTCTTTAGGGAACACTTTTCCTTTTTTTAACTCCTAACTTCTCCCAGATCCCTCCACCTCCATGCTCGCCCAATCTCATGTTTGTTTTCTCTCTCTCTCTTTCCCTCTCACACACACACAAAAAAACATGAAGTCTGTTTGGTTTTGACCAACTACTCCTGGGCATGATGCCTGCTCCAGACTGTGGTTGATACATTCAGTGTCACTGCATTAATAAACAACAACAACAACCAAAAAAAAAAAAAACTGATTTTTCCCTTTCCCAACAGGTATGGATTCAGATAGTTTCTTGATTAAGGGTGGAACTCTGTGTTTAATTCCCCTCCTCCATTCTGGAATTTTGTCTGGCTTGAAACTGTGTAGGTCTTGTGCTCACTGTCACAGTCTCTGTGTGTTCATCAGTCTATCAGCCCTGTTATATGTAGAAGACATTGTTTCCCTGGAGTTAGTTATCTACCACTTCTGGCTCTTACAGTTTTTCCACCTCCTCTTTGTCAAGGATCCCTGTGCCCTGAGGGGAGGAGTTTGATAATGACATCCCATTTAAGGCTAAGTGCTCTGAAGTGTTTTACTCGCCAGTTGTGGGTCTCTGTGTTAATTACCATCTACTGCAAGATGAAGCTTCTCTGATGAGGGTTGCATGGTGCTCTGATCTATGAACAGATCAACATGTCATTTGCGGTCATTTTATTGATGATTGTTTAGCAGAATAATAATAGTAGGGTTCCCCCTAGGGCCCATCACCTGTCTAGTCTCACTTTCATAGCCACTTTAGTAGTGTCAAGTATGGTAGTATCTCATGGAGTGGGCCTTACATCCAACCGAGGGGTGGTTGGTTACCATGCTAACATTGGTGCCACTATTGAACCAGTATATTTTCCAGGCAAGTTAATGATGCAGATCAAAGGTTTGTAGCTGGGTGATACTGATGACTACCTTTCTGCTTTGATAGCATGCAGAGTGCCTTCCAGCACTATGAATGCTAGTCATTTGGAGTGAAGCTCCTAGTTGGGAACCAGCCTGATTTCTCCAAGTTCAATGACATAAGTCAGTTGTGTCTTCAGTTATAAGACCTTACCATCAGGTTGTCATGGATAATCAATAGCCATGGCAATAGCTTGTGTTGTTTGGGGATCCATGTGGCCCCTTGGCCAATGAATGACTCAACAAGATGTAACTCATTTGTAGCACTGGAAGTTTTACTTGTAGACTTAAGAGATCTAGTTAGGGCATTGCCTCCCCTTTATATGGTGAATCCATTTACATTCCGTGTGTGTGTGTGTGTGTGTGTGTGTATTTAAAGAAGCTTCTACAGCAGTAGCTTTCCATACAGCTTTTCAAAAGGCCTTTAGTGTCTTTAGGCCTTTGTTCCTCCCCATACTCCCTCCTTTACCCTGACCTCTCAGCCTCCCCCCATTTAATCCTCCTAGTCTACCTTCCCCCTGTCTCTTTATAACACTGTATTTCTAGGGGATACTTTTCATACATTGCAAATGCTATGCAGGTGGTTGTTACATTTTTTAGAGAATGTACAGAAATGAACAGAAAAATACATGTTCAGTATAGGGTCACTTTTCACTATGAGCATTTTTGACCTGTGGTTGGTTGACTCAGAGGATGCAGAACCCAAAGATACAGAAGAGAAGGCAATGTTGCTTGATTGTTGTTGCTGGTATTTTACTCTTTTGGGGGGCCAGCCACCCATCTCCCAAATAAATCACACACAGAGGCTTATACTTAATTATGAATGTTTGGCCTTAGCTTGGCTTAGTTTCTAGCCAGCTTTCCTTAACTTAAATTATCCCATCTACCTTTTGCCTCTGGGCATTTCCTATTCTCTTACTTCTGTAAATCTTACTCTTACTCCATGGCTTGCTGGTTGTGTAGCTGGGTGGCTGACCCCTGGAGTCCTCCTCCTTCTCTGGCTCCTTGATCTCTTTTTCTCCAAGATTTCTCCCTCTATATATTCTTTCTCCCTGCCAGCCCCACCTATCCTTTCTCCTGCCTCACTATAGCCATTCAGTTCTTTTTTTTTTTAAACAATTTTATTTATTTATTATGTATACAGTGCTCTGTCTGCGTGTATCCCTGCAGGCCAGAAGAGGGCGCCAGATCTCATTACAGATGGTTGTGAGCCACCATGTGGTTGCTGGGAATTGAACTCAGGACCTTTGGAAGAGCAGCCAGTGCTCTTAACCTCTGAGCCATCTCTCCAGTCCGCCATTCAGTTCTTTATTAGACCATCAGGTGTTTTAGACAGGCACGGTAACACAGGTTCACAGAGTTAAACAAATGTAACATGAACAAAAGTAACACTCCTTAAAATAATATTCCTCAACACTTGATGTATATAGTTCAGTTATCCTGGGAGTTCACAGGCTCCCTCTAGAGTTTATGAGGGCAAAACTATTTTATTATATTAAGAAATTAATTACTTCTTCACTCATTCTTTTTTACATATATGATTACTGGAATTTTTCCTTATATAACATGATATATTGCAACAGATCAACTATAAATATTCAGTCATGTGAAACTAATGCCATGGAGGCTTTCCAAAATATAAAACAATTCAGTCTGTTTATGCATTTATTTTTCTTTTGGAAGGGAGAATTACTTTCATTTTTGTACTAAAGATCAAAACCAAGGCCACACACACTTTTTAGGCAAGTACTCTATTGTAGAGATAAGCCCTCAATCAGAAAGTACTTATTTATGAAATATTTGAATTAAAATTAGGAAAGGTAATTGTTTTAGGGTGAGGATCCACACATTTCAGAGTTGTCAGTTCCCACAAAATCCTACTGGAAGCACGGTTTTAAGACTTCAGCCCTTAGAGGGTTAGTTGCAAAGTCCAGATGTTGAAACCTGAGGACAGATGCACATTTCTAGGTTCAAGACTCTTAACATCTGGATTTGAGTTCTTGACCTCTTATTTTGCCTTTTGTTCCTTGTGGATTGGTATTAGATGTGTGTTAGCTTTTCTAGGCAGTGAGGAGGGCTTTCTCTAAGTTGATATCAAGTCCTTTCCAGTTTCCTGGCCTGCTTGTACTTAGTGTGGTAGGAGATGGTAGCCCAGAAAGTAAAGAGATGATTATAGACTAAAGGGTTCAGAGAACGCACCAGCACCAATCGGGCTTTATACAGTGTCCCCAGAGACCAGAAGATATCACACAGAGTTGAGAATCTGTGTATTTGCTAGATCTGCTTAGTCATACATGGCAGGAACAGGAGCAGGTTCAGGACTGTGCATTTGGACATCTGTTTCTGTCTTCCACATTCTAACCCCTGAATCTAATAATTGTGTCCTTGCTTTTTAAGCTGGTTACTTCTGGTGTTCTTACTAACTTTATTTTAGTATACATAGTCACTTTTAATAGTTTATTGGCCACCAGTCTTTATCATTACTTGAACTTCCTATGAATGAGAGAATGGTTCCTTAGATTTTTGTTGAATGTCATTTAATTTTTATTGAATACATACTTATGTATATATTTTACAATTTTCTGTATCTTATATAACGTTTATTGTTCTTTGGGAAATTTTGCAACTTTCAGAGATGCCTGAATTGAGAAAAGACTTTTAACAACAGATGCACCTTATTGTTTTTGTTCTGTATGATTTAATATATAATGCCTGTCCTGAACTTATTATGGAGTCAGTCTTCCTTGATGCTTTTTACTTTAAAACTCTGTTACTAAAATACTACTGTCCAGGGGGAATATGAAAAATGTATAAGACACCACTTAGACTAAAGGCTTCTAAAAATGTGTATTCTGAAATTAGATTTACACTTACTGAGTTAGTATGGATTTTATAAAATTAACATTTTGTTTTGAGAATTTTTTGTTATCAGCATGTTCACGTAAGATAAATTTCATCAAAAATATCTATTCACTTAATTGTTACCATAACTGTATCTTCTACTTGAGAAAATATTTGGAGGTAACCTAAAACTGTAAAATACTGTCTCCACTCTACTGGCATCTTACAAGAATTGGGAGTAATTTGGCTTGATTAAACTCTGCCTGGTTAGATTTTAATGTGCTTTATGTTATATGTTTCAGAAACTCCAGAAAGGAACTGAATGACATACGATTTGAATTTACTCCAGGAAGAGGCAAGTTTTAATTGAAATTATTATTTTGGAAGAAGTAACAGTTGAGAAATTGATCATAAGCATATAGTTATAATTTGCTATTCAAAAAATGTTTTGTCTGTAAACAAAGGAAGAAAGAAAGAGCTTGTTAGTTGTAAGAATCCTAGACCACTGCTCACTACATGAATCCCAGTGGCACATGTGGCATTGTGAACATACACGTATAAATTAGATATATTAGCTTAACCATGAAAATACACGCTGCTTGAAAATGAAGTTTTTAATGGAAGTGAAAGTGAGTGTGGTGTTACTCCATAAGCTAACAAACTCCACCTCTCTTATAACCTCTTTGTAATTTGCATATAAAAGGTACGTTATTGCAACTGCTTAATGAATGGACTGATTGTTCATACAGCATCCACATGTCAGAAAATGGGGCCATGTATTGTTTTTATTTTTTATTATCTTTTGCAACAGGCATAGAACCTGGCATGTAGACCATCAAGAAACCTTGGTTAATAGATAAGTAACCCAAGGAAAAAATATGGTTTACATTATTTACTTTATAACTCAATAGTCTAAAGAAGTAAAAAATCAGATGCCAACACATGCTAAGTTTGTAACTATTTTCCATGTTGTGCAGTAGTCTTCTGCATTCTGATTTGTAATATCTATAAGCTCACAGCTCGGTGTTTGTTCTATGTGTTAGGGTTCTACATAAATTTCAGCTTCATTTGTTAAACTTTGAAAAGCCCAAAGCACAAGGATTCACTTGGCCTGAGAGCTAGTCTGGCAGTCACCTGCCCTGGCCTCCCTATTGTTAGCACCTGTGAGAAGATGCTGGCCTAACTGCCTTGAAGAGCCAGAGTGAATGACAGGCACTTCAAGACATTGATCCATCCTGTGTATGGGAAGTTGTTCAAGTACTGCCTTCATGAGGAGTTGTTTAAGTACTGCCAGTCAAACAAATTATGCTCCTAGACCTTAAGTGTTGGTGGGCCAAGATTTCCTCTAGTTCTGATCATGAGTCCTTTGTAAAGGCAAGGATCAGATGACTTCCCAAATATCTGAATCAGATAAAAACATGAAATATCTTTTACAAAATACATGCTCTTAGACCCTAATGAGCTTGCTAACTAGGCTTTCTTTTCAAGTGCACCCATCCCTAGCAATTTCAGATGGGCCTGTGAGATTGTACACCACCAGTCACAGTTATCAATTAAAAAAATACTGACCAGGCAATGTTGTGAATAAGATCTAGTAATTATATAACAGATGTTACAAGTATAAGAAGAGCAGATTCTGATTTTAAGGTTGCCTCTTTTCATCTGGTTACATAAGGTGGACTACAGCAATGAAAATCAATTTTAATTAAGAACTAACAAAGAAATGAATTTCCAACTTGAGCATTTGTGTGGATAAGGTGGTCCTATCATCACTAGGCCGTTTGCATTGCCTTTGGTGCCTCATTTTGCCAAGGATTGATGACTAGTCTCTGATTTTAGTGCCCAGGCAGAAACGATGGCAGTGACTTGGCTGGTAATTGTATCCTCTCTTGAACAGCAAGCACAGGCCTGTTAGTACTGGATGCACTGTGTGTACAACTCTTGGTGCTACCTGTTCATCAGGCAATGTCTGATATATGTGTTCACCATACACCACATGTGCACTACATGTGTGCTGTCTACAAACAGGCATAGTTGTGTATGGCATAAAATGTGGTTTGCACACGGAAATTCTCTGTTGTCTTTTGAGGACGCACCCTTTTATTTATGATGTTATTTTATATTCTGGAAACCAGATGTTAACATGTGATTATTGAACCTGTTTCAGCATCAGCTTAAAGTAAAAATAAATTACTAGTAAACTTGAAATAATAATTTCATATTTCTGGTCTAAACTATTACAGGTCTCATACTTACCTGTATAGAAAATGACTGCTTTGTGCCGTACACAGCGACAGGGGCATTTCCCATCTTGTCCAGCCAGCATTAGCCATTTGCCACTTTGATATGAATCATCTGGTGCCCAAGAGGCCTGAAAATGGGACATGCTATCCAGTTTAATGGCCAGGGAGTGGCTGTCACACTGGCACTGGTTTAGTGCTGGCCCTTGGTGTGGCTTTGTGCCATGTCTCCCTTTCCGCTGCATTCTGAGAGTGTAGCTGCTTGCAGAAATGTAAGATTCAGATCTTCTTGCTGCTGGCCAGTCACTAGCTATAAATGACCTCCTACTGCAAGCTTGTCACCTACATCTGCTCAGCACCCTCATTAAAATGGTTTCCTGTCCTAGAGCTGTGGTTGATCTCCAGGAGGGTGAGGATTCTGAGTGCCAGCAGCTTCAGAAAGAGAGTCACCCTCAGAACACAGCCATTCACTGAGCTCTCCTCAGTCCCCTAAGGTGGGATCATTCCATCAGGGACCTTTATAAACTCTGTGTTTAATCATTATCAGAAGGAGAAGGCCCAAGATGAGCTGGCCTTGTGTGGGATCCCATGGTTTAGTGAGCTTTCTGTATCATCCCTTGTCATCTGAAATGAGAGAGAAACACAATCTCCGGAAGCATCTAGCATATACTTTGAGAGTCTTCATCTTTTCTGGAGATGGAGGAAGGGAGAGAAAGAGTGCACAAGAATTAAGATGAGTTTGGAATGCCCTTTGGCTGTACCACTGCCTTCGCCATCACCGTTTATTGTATTCTTGGCATCATATACCAGGTCTAAACACTCTAAATCCCCCAAATTGTGAAAAAGCAGGTCAAATGCATGTATGAATATGCATATAATGCACATATGCAGTTTATGTGTGCACACAGACCTACTCTGTGGACTCATTCACATAGTCCACCATAGCTGGGTTGTCCCTGCAGTTCTGTTTTGCTGTTGGTTTGATGCAGCAGATGTATGTTCAGGTGTCCGCTGACTTTGGAAAACACTCATGTCAGATCATCCCTAAAATGCCCGTGCTGTTTGTAGCCAGTGCTGTTAGGTGTCTGTTAGAATATCAGAAGGCTGTGGAGATGAAATCATTTCCTTTATATAACACAGGGTTCTGTAATGGTTCTTTTGAGCATATCGCAATTTTCAGTTCCTCCTTGAAAAGTCTTTCAATAGAAGTTAGCAGTGTTACCATGCTCATTCATAACCTCTCAATTAAGTAATTTTTAGCTATATTCACTTGCTACAGCCTGTTCAGTCCCATCTTTATGAGATTGCCAACTCCTGTCACTTATCATTGAGAAACTACATTATTTTACACAGCCACATTTTCTAAGAGAATGAATCTGTTGCTATCAAATGATCAATGTTGTGTTAAAGGGGTTTCTTAATAGCATACATTTAAATAGCTCATCTTAATAGTGCAACCAGCCCATGGGCTGTTTGTACCAAGTGTAAGGTTGTATCAGATTCTACCCATTCAACCTTTGCTATAAATTCTTAACTCAGTAGCTACGAATGATTGAAAAGGATTGATGATGGCTAGAATTAACCTTGGCAAGAAAGAAAAGCAATGTCATGGAGAGCACTCAGGTGTTCTAGGGTATTCCAGAAGATTAATTCAGTTGGTGGCCAGAGGGGAAATTTTTTGGTTCACCAAAGTGAAATAAATATTTTTTTAGTAAGATCTGTTAAGTAAAAGACAAAATACAAATTGCTTGTGGGAAAATATACTTCATGGTGGTTTTGAGTTTTTTCTAATAGGATCTGAATTGATGAATTAAAATCATGTGGGTGATTTTAGTAAATGAAAAATATATTTTTATATTGTGCTGGGCTGTTGATTTTTATGTTATGGTTTCTAATACATATTCATCTCACATTTGGACAGATACAGCAGATGGTGTGTCTCAGGAGCTCTTCTCTGCTGGCTTGGTTGACGGTCATGATGTAGTTATAGGTAAATTGATTTTTAGTATGCAGTATCATTTTGTTGATATATCAAATGGAAATGTGTTCAGAAGCAAAACTTTTCATTAAGGCATAATTCACTCTGAAATTTAAAAGAGAATCTTCATAAATTCCTATGTTTATGGTGAAATTGCATTAAGAATCATATTTAATTTTCTTCAAAGGTATTTCATGTATTTCCCTCCCCTTTATATAAGCATTTTGTTGTTGTTCAGTTTTTAAAAGAAAGAAAATAAGAAATGAAGACTGCATTCATATATAACTTATTCAAATGTGTTTTAAGTACAGTACATAACCAAAAGGCTTGTTTGTATTTTTCCTATCCCTTAATTACTTATCCTCATAAATTTTATTTTGCTTTGTTTCCCATTGTTGGGCCTTGAATATTTCTGTATGAAGAATGTTTGGTAAAAACCAGATATATTAACTCTTCCTTATACGGAAAAAGTACAAATGCCTTTGCTGGGCATCACACCTGTGGCTTTTCAGATGATTCATGTACTTTTTATCCGATGGTCAGACCAGTTCTGAGATGTAAAAGGGGGCAGGTTGTTTTAGACACTGTTCTACAGATGAACCTGAGAATCAAATGAGGTCTGGAGGATGTAACCTGCAGTCGGGGCTTCTTGACTCTGAGGGCTTGCCCTTGTCCAGGAATTGTAGACAGAGTTAGGTCCAGTATCTTCAGCCTCAGAAAGTGCTGATTCCTGTGTGTTGTAAGAAAACAAAATAGCAAAAAAACAAAAACAACTTATTTTTTCCCAAAGCAGCAGATATCACATTTTAGTTGTTATTTAACAGATCAAATATATTTACTCCTGTACCTCACTAACCAGTCTCGGAATTTCTCCACTGTCTCCCTTGTTATCCCTCCCATTGTTTGCTACATATGACCCAGGAGCATCTCAGAGCTTTTATTTCTTACATTTTAAAGAATTTCTTCTTTACATCTTAATACAGCTATTTCCCTCCAGCATGTTATAGAAAACTTTGCTGAAAGACCTGTCTCTGCCATCATTTCCTTCCTTACCGTGGTCCCCTGAACAAAGTCCAGCCAGACATTGACCTTCTCACTCCACTCAAACTGTCATTTTCAAAGCCACATCTGGAGAAGGCAGGCCTGATGGTGAGATGGCAGGTGCAGCAGGAGTGGACAGTGTGGTGTCACAGGACCTGTGACCTGAGAGTGACAGCCCCCTTCCTAAGTTGGAGGTTAATGATCTGTCTTCTCAATTGGCCTGTCAGAAGTACTGGGCCTAGAAGGTAGGGCCGTCCTCCACAATCAGCTTCTTATTTGGGTTTTTAGAAACCCACCCTTCTTTGTTCCTCCAACCTGGGGGGTGATGTCTTAGCATTTTACTGGTTCCTCTTCATCTCTCTGACCTGCAGATGCTGATGTATCCCAGGAGTCTAAGAACAATTTCTTCTGTAATCACTTCCTCTTTTGGCATGGCATTAATCACCTTCTGTTGTTTAACTTTCGGTCACAGGTAGACTCAGCCAGATTTTTGTTTTAAATCATCTTCCATTTGGAGGGCAGTCAGTATCTGAAATTTAATGGTCAGTCTCCAAAATGCAGCCCTTGGTGTTTCTTCCCACCTGCCCTTCAGTGGTCCTTCTCTCTCAGGATTACATCACTCTGTGTCTAGGTGCTCATGCCGACACCTGGGAGTTATTCTTGACTTTTTTTTCTCCCTTACCCCCACTTTCAAATTATGATGTGTACAGTATCTAACTGTTGGTACTCAGCTTGGTTCTCTGTTGTGACAAAATACCCGCCATAAGCAGCTCAATGAAGGGAGGGTATATTTTGGCTCACAACTCAGAGGATACAGTCCATCATGGCGGGGAAGGCCTGGCAGGGTGCATGGCAGCTGGAGCATGTCTCTTCCATTCTTGGCAGACCAGGAAGCAGAGGTCTCAGTGAGCTGTAGGTCAGTAGATATATTTTATCTGTTCAATAATCAACAACTAAAATATAAAATGATATCTACTGCTTTGGGGGGAAAATATAGGCTCCTCTGGCTCCATCCTACATACTGAGGTTAGGTCATATATCCAAAAGGCTCCATGACCTGCTCCAACAGCTGCAGATCAGGTGTTCAAATATATGAGCCTGTGGGGAAGGCGAACATTTCACATTTAAACCATGATATCCTATTCTAAGCCCCCCTCATCCTTTAGCTAGGTTTATCACCCCTGGGTCTTTACTGGTATCCCAGTTTCTGCTCCTGCCCCCCTTGTCAGCTAGAGATAGCCAGGTAAGTTAAATCACACCTAAAAGTCACGTGATTCCAGGTATGTGAAATACCCAGCGTCGTTGAGATGGGGAGCATTTGAGGGTTTGTTTTGAATGTGATAAATATTTTGGAATTAAAAGTAACAGTGGGTATGCAGCCTTGAGACTGTACCCATAACCACTGAATTGTGAGCTTCAAAAGGAAGAATTTTGTGTATGATCACATCCCAATTGAAAAAATTGGTCAGATGACGTTAACGCTTTCATCGAACTCTGTAATGGCTTCCAACCCACATGCCAGGGGCCTGTACCTCTTTGCTGTATGCCTCAATCACTTCTCAGACCAGCTCTCTTCTCTCAGCTCTGCTCCCACCCATCAGCGCACCAGCCTGTAATGCCAGCAAGCTGCACTTGCCTCTCTTCCAGAATGCCCCTTCTGAAGGCTCACGTGGGTTCACCCCACATCTCTTGGTGCTTTCCCCCAGCATCTTCCCTGACACCCCTGCACAGAATGGCGTCCCCTCCCCAGCTTTCCGCCATCCTCATCACTTTGTACTTTCTACTTTGACTTTCCTCATGCCGTAGTTTATGTTTTCCACTTATAAAAATTATCTGTAGGACTTCTTCTTGAATATAATAAAAAAGCATTAAAATAAACTTCATTGTAAATGCTAACATCCTGGCTCAAAATGTTTCAGAGTGAAATTGTATAAATTAATGCAGAAATACATCTCCCTTTTTAGAGATAGAAATTCTAACATCTGGTTTCAAATTCCACTTAAAGCAAGCAGACATTGTTGTTACAAAGCCCAGGAAGGGTGACAGCAAACCCAAGCTACAACAGTCAGCAGACACTCTGCTCATACCCTCCCTCCCTCCCTCCCTCCCTCCCTCCCTCCCTCCCTCCCTCCCTCCCTCCATTTTTCCTTCCTTCTCAAATAGCATCTCACTATGTAGCCAGGCTGGCTCAAGCTTCTGATCCTTGTCCTCAGCCTCCCCAGTACTGACATTACAAATGTGCATAACCACAGCAGGCTAAACGTTAGATTCTTAAAGGTGGCTGATTTGGTCTGTGTTCTGTACTGCTCCCGACCCACTGCTGAAGGGCATCGCTTCTCCCAAATTCTGTTCTGTCCAAAATTCTGTTCTGACCTCTCCAGATATCTCCTAGCATTTTCATTAGAAAAAGAATTGTATTGAATATAGGATACTAGTATTTAGAGACTCATGCTTTGGAGATAGCAAAATTTGAGTAGCCTTTACAAAATGAAATAAGCTCATAGGAGGAAGGCTGTACAAAATATAGCCTTCTCATGTGTGTTTCAACTTATATAATATAAAATAGCTAACATTTAATAGATTTAAAAATCTGTTTTTTTTCCCATCAGCGTTTTCTTTTGACTTGGGGAAAATGCTTGTGGTATCATGAAAAGGCTGAAAAAAGCAATAGTATGTGTTATAGAGCAGTGGGTGCTGTGGCTTTTACTGTAGCGTAGCAAACATAGATTACAAAAGTCGGCATTACCTCGCCTGCAGGGTAATCTGCCTGGAGTGTGCAAAGCTTTACAAAGCACAGTTCGGATTGAAGGAAGGCTGGTGTATGGCACAGAATGATGACTTTCATGCAGAACGAGGGCAGTCCAAAATTAAATGCACTGTTTGTAGACTGAATCATAAGCCACTTCAGTTATGCTCAAAGTTAGCACTACCTTAGGCAAGAAACAGGAAACACTTTTAGGCCTTGTGTAAATAGACAAGTATAAGATGGCACTGCCTTCTGGGTGGGTGTTTGTTAAAAAAGTAAACTTGTGAGATGAAAAAATAGATGATATGCATGTATAAATTTGCTTATCTTGGCTGCCTAGGTTGGCTGTAAAATGTAAATAGACAACGGAGAGTCCCTATTCCAGTTATTTCAAAGAGGATTACCAAGGAAAACTGATGGGGGGGGCGCACTCAGAGAAAACTCCCCTCTCACCCTTGAGAAAAAATTGCCCATTGGAGAATGAAGGCTGTGCAGAACAGCTTGGTTTTTTTCTGAATAATAAAATTCATTCTAAATTTTGCTCTGGACTTGTGCATGGTCTTTGTAATTTCCTTTAATGAGTTTTGGAACTTCACCAGTAGGAAAAGGAAATAGGGCAGGGGTCATAAGCCAGGATGTTTGTAAGGCCTATGCACAGCTTCTCAAAGCTGCCGCCCTCAGCCTACAAGGCCCAGTGCAGAGGCCAAGGTCCAAATGCCTGTGTTGGGGAGTGGACGGGAGGCTGCTGGACCAGAGAGTGTCTGAGCAGAGTGTCTGCTGGCTGTTGTAGCTTGGGTTTGCTGTCACCCTTCCTGGGCTTTGTAACAACAATGTCTGCCTGCTTTAAGTGGAATTTGAAACCAGATGTTAGAATTTCTATCTCTAGAAAAGGAGATGTATTTCTGCATTGATTTATATAATTTTACTCTGATACATTTTAAGCCAGGTTGTTAGCACTACAATGAAGTTTATTTTAATGATTTTTTATTATACTCTACTATGTATTATTAATACATAGATACGGTTTATTTGAAATATGTATGTCCTCATAAGTTCTCTCTGGGCTTTCAGACATGTTCTTCATATTTCTGGAATAATCACACTCCTCATGTAAAATATGCTTGCTTTTTGAGACTCGCTATACATGTCCTCTCCAAGCACCTGCTCCCCTGCTTGCCCCTTCACATTCATAAGCTGGAGGACAGCCTATCCTTGTATAGATCCC